CTTAATCTCTACACGATGTTTGTTGCTTTGGGGATGTGTTGATATTTGATAGCACATATAAGACCAACGTATATGACAAGCCTTTAGTGGTGTTTGTTGGTGTAAACAACCATAATTCAACTACAATTTTTGGTTGTGCATTTCTTGTTGATGAGACTGCTACTACATATCGTTGGGTACTCAGAACTTTTTTGACTTCTATGAAGGATAAAAAGCTTGTATTGTTGGAAAAATGGCTCACCTAAGGATACAAGTGTGTTTTGGCGCTGAAAGGATGATTTTGAATCTGTCTAAAAGCGACCGGTCGCAGGACATTTGCGACCGGTCGTTTTGAAGCAGATTCGAAGTCTGGAGCAAAATCGACAAGCGACCGGTCGCTAGTTCTTTGCGACCGGTCGCAGGAAGCACGAGCGACCGGTCGCGTGACATTTGCGATCGGTCGTTTAGAAGCAGATTCAAAGTCTGGAGGAAAAACTTATGGCGACCGGTCGCCCATTCCTGACGACCGATCGCTCCAGTCGTGCTGTGACGTTTCCTTACGTGTTTTCAACTGTGTTTTCGATGGCTATCGCTTTCCACAAGATTTCAGAGGCTTAGTGGGTCACTTCTGAGTTAAATGAATGTTGACTACCTGCTGGATAGTTGGGAGAGCACTCATGGCTAATTGGTTATCTTATTTCAAATATATCACTCTCCATTTTCTGGTGTAAGTGGGAGGTGGCTGAGTGGAATATCATTTACCTACTTGATCTGACATTTAGTCTAAGTTATTGACTAAAGGAGGAACGTGGAGGACAAAGATGGTGCCTTATCTTATGTCCATTGGCTTGTGTAGGAAATGGGGTGAAGTAAGATAACACAAGAGGAGAAAACAAGTTGAATAATAGTAAGTGGTAGAAGCTGGAATTCTAAGAAGAGAGAGTTAGATGAGCCAATTTTACCAACAGTTTTTACACACTGCTAGTTAGGATTATCACACATTATACAAATCAAACCTTTTTGTCATCTTACATCAGCAAAACATACCTTCGAGAATCACTTATGACTCTATAAGGATACATAAACATACTGTTTGGACACTAACGAGCTAAACCCAAGATCATGGCTGTACATAAGGTTGAAACGAAGGTCCTCCACATAACCCAAAAAACATTGCAGTTTTGGATTTTACTGCATGGTAATAGCATCCCAGTTGTACTCCGGCACAACCCCTCTAGCATACTCGCGGAATAGATCAAATCCTTTACGTGACTCAGCTTCCCTCATTTGAACTGCCTCTTTTGAAGCACAGAACTTTCGAAAGGCATCCTGTTTCGCAAGCTTAACCTTTAATTTCATCTTCTTTACGGTTCCTAGGTAAAATTTTGCTTGTTTTTTCTGCTCCCTCAGGGTTTCTTCATGCCACTTTAGACGTATCTGTTGTCGTTTGATTGCCAGCATCAACATCTCATACCTAGGTTGTCCAATACCACTTGCATCCTCATATGAAAACTTAAGGCATTTGGCAACACCTTCAACATCATCTGCAGCTTTATTCTTCCCATGCGAGAACGCATCAGGATTTTTTTGTGGTGGAGTATTTAAAACTATAGGGAGAATTTTGTTACGTGAAGACATTATAAGTCTTGGAATTTTTTGAGGAAATGCTTGCTGTGGGAGAGCGTACAAATACTAAGTCATGACCTTTTTCCCGCCAAAACGACCTCCACTCAATCCCCTTCAATAGCTTTAGTTGTTTTATAGTAGATTGTAGTTAATGTTTATATATCTCAATTGACGGCTTATCCACTTATGGACAGTAGCCTTGACAGACGTTGGATACGCATGAAAATAGCCGCCACTTTAGGCTCTCCCCATGCACTGTGATAACCCTCCACTTTAGTCTCAACAATAGACATGGATAGGGGTGGGCATAAAAACAGATAAACCGATCAAACCGACCGAACCAATCCAAACCAAACCGAAAAAGAGTGTTTTTTGACCAAACCGAAAAAGTCAAATCTGGATCTGAACCGAACCGAAGGTCTACGGTTCGGCTCTCGGGTCTAAAAATTTCAGAACCGGTGAACCTGAACCGAACCGGTGAATATTTATATATATATATATTTTACACGTGGCATCATTTGATTGGCCAAAAAAATATTAATGTGAGGCTGCTTGCAGCGGATCCCTCACTATTTTTTTTTTCCCGTAACCTCTCGCACGCGACTCTCACTCACTCACTTTCACTCAGACTTCTCTTCTGTTCTCTCTTCTATTTTCATTTTCTTTCTCTGGTTTTGACCTAAGGGGCTGCGTGCGGCGCCTCTCTCTCTCTCTCTCACCTCACCAAAGCTCAGATCTTCAATCGACCTCGGATCTTTGAACAACAACATCAGCGTCTCTCTCTCTCTCTCTCTCTCTGTGGTTTTGACCTAAGGGGCTGTGTGTGGCGCCTCTCTCTCTCTCTCTCACCTCACCAAAGCTCAGATCTTTGAACAACAACATCAGCGTCGCTCCTTCCTTCATCGATCTCTCGATCTGTCATCTGCCGCCAGGTATCATCTCTTGTCTCTCTCTCTCTCGTCTGGCTCTATGTTCCTTTCTCTCTCGTCGACCTAAGCCTAACCTAACCCACAACATCACCCCTCTCTGTTTCAGGCACGCACAGCACAAACCCTATCAATTCTAATACTTGCACGCTTGAGGCAGCAGCGACAACCACCTCCCTTGCCGAAGGTAAATTCTCCCTCTCCTCTGTACATTCTAGGGTTTTTTTTATTTTGAAATTTATACTTATGCTCTGAACTTGAGAAATTATTTTTGCATTTTGTTTGAACGATTCTTCCATTCAATCTATCTGTGCTCTGTGTGTTTTTTGATAGAGTAAGGAAGAAAGAGAAAAACATAGAGAATTAGAGAAAAACAGAGAAAAAATGCGAGTTTGATTTTGAGTATTAATTAGCTAATGTTTTGCCTATATCCGATGGATTTATGCTCTGAACTTGAGAATTAATTTTTGCTTTTTTTGAACAATTCTTCCATTCAATCTGTCTCTGCTGTGTGTTTTTTGATAGAGTAAGGAAGAATTTGGTTTTTTGAACAATTTTTATATGTTTTATTGTGGTTTGGATTCTTGGAAGGGTGATCATATATTTGCAGTATGACAGAAAAAGATATTTGCAGTAGGAGGAACTAGTTTCTGTATTTTTTTAAGAAAAGAAAAAGATTCAGAATTTTTTTTTTAAGCTTTCGTTTGGTTGCTGAGAAAGTCAAGTTTAAATT